CATACAGGTCCAACAATGACAACTGACAACCACAGACTTACAAACTAAAAGGAAATATCAACATGTCGTTGTTTCTTTTTCGTTAATCTGTGGTTATCTCTCTGTGGAGTGTTTGGCGTTATGACTTAAAGATCTATGTTACCAGGTTATCAAAATTTAAAAAAATGTTTGGCTTTGATTTGACACTGACAATGACAAGTATTTACAAAATTGACATTGCTAAGCTTGCTACAACTTGGTATTAAACTCAAACTTTTGTTTTTAATACTGAAGTTAGTTTTAAAGTGACTAAACTGCGAAAGTTAAAGAATACAAAAACTTATAATTAAGTGTAGTGTACCGCCAGAACTTTTCATACGATGACGGATAAACAGAAAACGTAAATAAAAGCTTGCACTTTTGTCAATTTAGTTTATATTTTTCTATTTTCTGTTAATTACTCAGTCCAATATATAAAATTACTTTCCAGCCTCGTTTGCGGTGATGTAAATGGAAATTTCAATACATTGTTTTCGCGCGTTGAGTCAATTGTGAAGAAATCTGGACCATTTGATATTTTGCTTTGCGTGGGGAATTTTTTCGGCGATGACAACTCTCAACTTGATGCATATAAGATGGGTACTAGGAAAGGTAATGTCAATTTTTATACGAATTAATATACACCATACAAATAACTTCAACAGACAACTTTAAGGTTATCCTCACTGTGATAACGTAAATTATTTAAAACCATCTTTAACACTGTCGGTGCCACTGGCTTGCTCTATGAGTACATATAACTATGTGAAAGTCATAATGATATTGAATACATTCTAATTTGAATTTTAAATATTACATTTTCAGTTCCTGTGACCACATATGTTTTTGGACCTAGTGATGAAACCCATGTACATTATTATTGTGAAGAAGGAAATGAAATTGTACCTAATGTTGTCTATATGGGTATGTCTGCATGATTGTATTTCTAATAATTAAGATATGTGCCAAATATGTTGACTTTGCTACTAATTCTTTGTTTTCATTTTAGTTTTGATATGCATAACTTTGATTCGCAAATTAAGAGTAGTTACTGATACTGTAAAATTTTAGTGGCTAATTCTATTTATCACTCTGTTGTCTTATCCACCAAGCATATAACATATTATTTCAGGTAAAAGAGGTATATTTACAACTAGTTCTGATGTAAAGATTGCCTATCTTACTGGTCTATCACGGAGAGAACTTGGCAAGGATATTCCAATGTGTACATTTGAGCCCAGTGATTGTAGTGCAGTTAGAGACTCCTGTTTCCGTGGGCAAAGTGAATATAGAGGTGTGGATGTACTTATAACTACTCTATGGCCGGCTGGAATTGAAAATGATGAGTGTCAAAAGGTAACAAAAATATTATAGAACTTTGACATATTATACTGCATTTAAAGTAGGAAAACAAGCTAGATCTGCCAAAAATAAAGAAATTTTAATTTTGAAATTACCACAGTATGGGTTGCCATATTTTTAATTAAAATGCACTGTATGGGAAAAGAAATTGATGTTATTTATTATAAATTTCAGATGGATGTAGGAAAAGAATGTTTGTCCGATTTAATAGCTTGGTTGGCCATACATGTTAAGCCAAGATATCATTTTGTACCTTCTGTAGATAAATATTATGAAAGACAACCTTACCGGTAAGTGTTTTTTCGTATGATTATTGTTTTGTTATTTGGCACATTTGATAATTTAGAAAAATTGACTAATTTTTATTCATCATCATCAGCTCACTATACATTCCCACCGAGGGGCTCGGAGCCTACCGTAAGTTAAGGGTGATTAGGCCATAGTCTACCACTCTGGCCAAGTGCGGGTTGGTTGACTTCACACATATCTTTTGAATTTCTTCTCAGATATGTGCAGGTTGCGTCGTTTTCCTTCACCGTAAGAACGTCGGATAAATGTACATATGTAAATCGGAAATCAAAAAACACATTGGTACATGGTGGGATTCGAGCCCAGGATATGCAGATTGCAAGTCAAGGGCTTGACTACTGAGCTACCGACGCTCCTATTTATATGAGCTTATTTTTACTATGTTGGCAAAAAAAATTGATAACAATACAAACAGGTCATGCTTATTTTGTTACGAGCACAAAGTATACAGGGTGATTCAAATAGGTGTGAAGTCGCCCCATTTTCTATTTGTATCAAATTAAAAAAACAAAACAGTTTTTTAGTAAAACTGATATTTGGACAAAATTTTTGGTTTGAAATCTCTAACTTTCTTTTCATAGATTAAATGTATGGATACTCAAATTAATTTCAAATTGTACTAAGTATAAATGTGATCTTTTACTTTCCAGGAATCAAAGCATACACCAAGATTATCGTGAGTGTGCAACAAGATTTATAGGTTTGGCCCCTGTCGGGAATAAGGCTAAAGAGAAATGGATCTATGCGTGCTCTTTGCAACCTATTAGCAAAATGAGAATGACAGATCTCCTGCAGGCTACCACAGATGAAACTATCTGCCCATACGATCCAGAACTGATGAAGCAACATCAACCTGGAAAAGTTGTTAAGGTAATTAATAATTTGTTAATTGAAATTTGAATTCAACCTTTTTGGTGGCCAAGGAGTTTGTATACCAAAGTGACTACTAGAATGTTTCACATTTAAATCAATAGTTTAATCACTGACCTCTGTAAATGGATAGGCTATACGACCAGGTATTTTGTTCCTATTTGAGTTGCGGTTTCTAGCGGTGGTGAGAATTAGAACTAACGATAGAGGTGGAATTGACTATCAGTAACATCAATATATGCATTTATGGAACAAAGCAAAAGCGTCGAAGCGTCAATAGCCTAATGGTTGAGGATACGGATTTCCGATCACGAGGTCGGGGGTTCGAATCCCGCCATTCGAGTATTGTCGTAAACTATATCCTAGCACAAGCTTAGTTGGAGTGGTAAAAGAAATATTAGTAAATTTGCAACAAATGTGCAAACGTTAATTTTATATTTAGATTTTTTTTTAATTTTCAGTTCTCTGGGAATGGCCAGTACTTTTATAACTTAGATGCAGCAGATGATGATCAAGGTAAAAGAAAAAGAAAGGGTGGTGATACTGAACGAAAACGAAGGGAATTTGATCCAGGTAAGATTTAATTAACCAGTTAGAGGTTTTCACTAATGCCAACCAAAACCAAAGACAAATTGTCATCCTTCTCATTTACCTTGAAAAAAATTGTGATTTTTTTTATTAGTTTAGGCAGAAAACTCACGGATAGATAGTTCTAATTTATTTTCTTTTTTATGGAATTTCTTATTAAGGATTATTTTTTTTTCAGATAGTTGTTGGTTCTGCCTATCCTCTCCTACAGTTGAGAAGCATCTAGTGATATGTGTGGGCACGCACTGTTACCTCGCGTTACCTAAGGGTCCACTCACACCATACCATGTGTTGATATTACCTATAGCTCATCACCAGTCCGTCAGTAAGGTAATGTTTATATGAATCAAATATATTTAATATTTTGACAGTGGTAGAGCCCGCTTTAACATCTTCGCTCGAATCGGCCCGGCTCGCCCGGTCAAATGCCACGACCACACAGAAGACAGGCGTCAAGTGGAAGCAATTCCGCGTTTCGTCTGATGAGTGTGCGTCCCGGAGGCCAAAATTAGTCCTCTTTCCCTTCCCGTCATATTTGTTATAAGGAAAGGATGGGAAGTGAAAGACGACTTTTCGGATGAGAGGATGCATGGAAAGGGAAAATATTTTCTTTCTGTGCATCTTCTCCTCCGTTGATTAAAGGTAGGCAACGCATATGCAATTGCGCATGTCTATGGGCAACGGTCACTTCGCTATTTCAGCGATTTCAGGTGGCCGCTCGCTCGTTTGCCACCTTGTGATATAAAAAAAAAATATATTAAATTGTGTAAATAAATTAAAACGCCATCTATTTTTTAAAAAACAAAAAAGATACATTATTTTCAATCCTTTGATGTATGAATCGCGCGCTTACATTACCAAAGTCAAGTGTGAATGATTAGTGAGAGGACATAAACGTTGACATCTTAGTAAAGCTAGTGTTACGCCAGTACACCGACACAGTGTCGGATTTTCTTCCTAACAATACCAAAAAAAAAAAGATTTTTTTAATTTCCAAAAAAAAAAATTTCAAACTTTTTTTCATCAATGCAAGGTTTAAAACAATTATTTATATAGAAAAAATAGAAATTGCAAGAAAAATAATTAATGGATGATATTGACTAGTATAATAATAAAATATTGTTATTTTATATACTTTCTATAAAATATACTGAACGAATGTAAATGTTAAGTGAAAGTTGTGAAAGTTATCATACTAATATTATAAATGTGAATGTTTAGATGAATGTTTGTTTGTTTGAAGGTATCTCTGGAACAACTCAAGGAATTTTGATGAATATTTCCTATTTATTAATGTTTTGTTTTATGTGTTATTTCTTTATAATTATTTTTGTGCTGTTTTTTGCTTATTGTGTTGTGATATTGGAAGGATTAAATATTATTTTTTATTGTTTTTTATTTTAAGAAATTTAGCGCACATGTAGAACATAGTCTGGAGGAACATTATGTGTTCCTAATTAACTTTTTTTTTTTAATTTCGTGTGGACGGAGTCGCGGGCGACAGCTAGTTTTTTAATAAAAATATACAATTTCAGGCACCTGACGAAGTTGTGAATGAAATAAAGAAATTCAAAGAGGCATTAAAAGAATTTTATACATCAATGAACAAGCTGGTTGTGTTCTTTGAGAGGAATTATAAAACATCTCACATGCAGATACAATGCGTGCCTGTGCCTAGACTCTGCGAATCACAGATATTGGAAGTTTTTCAGGTAAATACTTAATCATATTTATCACCTTTACAATTTTTTTTTTACTTTTAGTCGTCATTTTTTTACTCTAACTTGTAAGGAATCATTATATTATGATATAATGTTATTACTTAATTTTGAAAATTCAATAAAAGCCAGTTATAACGACGTCGAAGAGACTAAAGGAAATGCTTGAATTTAATTGTTTATGTCACTAAAGACTATCAGCGCAGAAAATAGCTTCATATGCATGCATATAACACACCTACAAAACACCGACCCAGCTTCAATTCTTGAGATTATCTGGAACAAACGCGGCCTTCTAGACAGAGGCAAAAATTAAAAAAAAAAATTTCGTTAACAACGCAAATTATTTGAACGATTTTTTTGATACAACATACAGACACACCTAATTTTATATGTATAAATGTATGGATGTATTCACCGGTTACCTGATACCAGGACGAGGCGGGTATAAACAGCATCCAGATAGAAGTTCTGCCGCCGTACGCGGACATCGCGCAGGTGGTACTTCCCGGCGCGCCATATTTCCACGCAGAACTGCCCACTGGAGATCAGATATTCGCCAAAACGAAGCAACACTTCCCATTACAGTTCGGAAGGTAAATTAAAAAAAAACCTAAAAAAAAAATTAAAAAATGTTGCTAAAATATTATTAAATAATTTATTATTGCACTTTACATTGTCAAATAACTCATTTTAAGATCCTATCTAAATAAGTGTTGAATTATAAGGCTTTTTAGTAGTTTTAATTCAAACAAAAAATCAAGATGGCCGCCATCACAAAATGGCGATGACATTTTATATTTTTTTCTTCTGATATCAAATGAAATGGTTTAAATTGATTGTAAGATTTGACCTCATATTTTAACAGACTTCAAAATAAGCTTTTCCTTTCCTTTCCGCTGGTTTTTTGTAACCACGTATCTCCTGGTGTCCTATTTTATTTTTATTAATTTACTTATTAAGCTGTAAGTTGTATTGTTTTAGGGATGTATTATCAAGTCCTCCGATACTGAACTGTGAAGACAAGGCTGACTGGCGCCAGTGCCTCATCAGCCGCGAGGAGGAGGACGCCCACGTCGCCGCGTTCCGCACTAACTTCAGACCTTACGACTTTACTATTAACGAAGACAGTGATAGTGAATAAATTTATTAAAAAATATATATTTCTTTCTCTTTCTACCATTTTCAAACAGAATAAGATGGCAAGCATAGAAGTTTCAAATATTTTTTTTAGAAATTCAAAGAGAATATTTATTGGTAACAAAACAGGCTTCAGATTGTGTTTTTTTTTAACTCCGCGCGGACAGAGTCGCGGGAGACAGCTTGTAACATTCGCCTTTATAAAAAGGCGAATGTTTAGATGGATGAATGGATGTTTGAAGGTATCTCCAGAATGGATGAACGGATCACGATGAAATTTGGAATACATATATGACATAGCTATTAATTATGTTTTTCTTAATTTCCCGCGGACGGAGTCACATCATTTGGCAACATATAAGTTTTAACATGTTGAACTTTTACATAATTCACACGCATTATAAACTTTGCACTGCAAAAATTAACTACAACACAAAAGTACGGTTATAAAACCAGATTTCTGTAGAATCTATTTATATCCTTTGAACGTAAACTTTGTAACCGACCAACCAACGCTTGCGCAGGGTTCAACAACCCAATAACTGTTTTGCCTTGGAGGTCTAGTTTTTCCATACCAAGAAATCAAAATATCTTAGCAAATGCGATTGAAATCAAATATAACATGTGTTCTAGTATTAAAATATTAGCATTATATCTCAAATACCTATTAGTATTATAAATTGTTTTTATCGGGAACGTTTAATTATCTGTGAGATTTTTAAATTAGCTTAACGGCATTCAGATTTCTATGTTTTTCATTAAAAAATATTTTAATTTAATAAATTATTAAAATGAAAATATGAAAATAAAAATATTTACAAAGATTAAACTTAAATAAAAATATTAAAATTATAAATTAAGAATATAACATGAATGAATGAAAAAAATTGACCGGATAGTGAATGAAAAAAATGTATGAAATGAAGTTTGCGGAGGATAAGCGGTATTACGTGTCCTTATCTTAACACAGTCTTGGCACGATTTTCAACGTCTGAGCAAGTTTTTAGGTAATTATAATTATATTTAAACGTATATAACTTTTAATTCGTTCGAAAGGATTGCAAAGTAGAAAGGATTGGGTATAATAAATTAGTTATAATACGTAAGTAAAAAACAAAAAGAAACTTTCAGTGATACTCGAACGTCGATATGTCGATGTTAATGTCCGACATTTGTAGGTTATTTTTCTAACTTAATAGATGCACCAAAATATAAAATCAGATCAATATATTGAAATTCATATAGTTTTGTAATTTATTACGTAATTATAATATAAAACTAGGTAAAGACATAGTTAAAATCGTATAAATTGAACGATTGAATTACTGTGCGCTAAATTGGCGGGAAAGCTTGGGCAAAGAATTTAGTATCAATAAAGTTAATTAAACTTAATTAAGCGATTGTCTCATAGCTTATTAGTATTATTTGACATCTGAAAGTAATTTTTAACTAATTTTTAGTAGTAAATACTTCAAAGGTATCTTTTTTGTAGGTTACATTTTTGATCCTTCATGTAGTATCATCGTTTTTCTTTATTGTTTCTGGCTGTTATCTGACTTTGAAACGTAATGATTTATTTTTTATTTTTCATAAGCTGGAAATCAACAAAAAGCTGTCAACATAAAAAAAACTAACTAGTGTAACGCCTCAACCCCAATTGGGCTTTGGCATTTGCCTTTCTGGATCCAGCGCTGTCTCGATCCAGTCCTGACTTGAAGCTACTTTAGGTCTTTATCCAGCGATAGCTGGGACGAAAAACTTGTCAACATAATATACATTAAAGGTATGTGTACAGATGTTTAATTTTCAGCGTATTATGCAGCAGCTGCCAAATGTTTTAAGAGAAACTAGCCGTCGCCCGTGACTCCGTCCGCCTGTAATTAAGAAAAATATATGTAATAAGCCTATGTGTTCTTCCAGACTACGGTCTACATTCAATGTTTCCAATGCATGCTAAATTTCAGCGAGATTAGTAGAGCTGTTCTGGAGAGACGTTCAAATAATCATCCATCCATCCATCCATCTAAACATCTACATTTGTAATATTAGAAAGATGTTAGTTACATAAGTAAAAGATTAATCATCGTAGATTATATTGTACATGGGTGTACAAATAATTAACAATTAATTTTGCTGTCTACCGCGCTTCCGTCTACGTGGAATTTAAAAGAAACTTAATTAGTGGCCATTGATTGCTTCCAAGCTATGTTCTACATCTTTGACAAATTTCACCGAGATGTATGCAGCCGTTCTGGTGAACATCTATCCATCCATCCATCTAAACTTTTGCATTTATAACATTAAAATAAAGTAAAAAGCAAGATAATGAATCCAATGTATGAATGAATGAATGTATGCTTCGATTTATATTATTTTGTAATATTAAAAACGTATAACAAAATATGTTTTTGTATATTTTTAAATAAAGAGCTTCGTGGTTTTATGACTGAAATAATTTCTTAATTAATAAATTCCATAAGATTTTCTATGTTTATACCTTGATTTTCAAATAAGAGTTGAAATTAAATATACGATTTTTTTTAATCAAGTACTTTTTGATTTAATTATGCCTTCATCACAGTAATTATGTTCTTTTTATTCATCATTTATGGTAAGTTATAGCTTCAATACTGAATGAATCCTATCCAGATTTTAGTATATAATTTATTTTATACAGTAATAAGCAAATGAAATGACATTGTGTCCAATGAAATCACTGTAGGGCCAACGAGCTGTTGGTCTGTGTCGCTTTATATCTGATGATGGCTTGGCGTGACTTCTATGTAATTATATTAATGCTCATCAACTCCGATGTCCTGTACCACTGAAATGCAGAATGATTAACGACTAATAAACAGTTTTATAAGTTTTATACTTAGTTAAAAATAAGAAGTACATGTGTAAAATCTTAATTCCCGTGACGTACCAACCTCAATGATTTTTTTGAAATTACTAAAAAAATAGAATAATAATAATAAATAATGAACTCCCTAATGTAATTTAGCATAAGGAATATGAGCAAAAAAGAAAACTAAGAGTAGATGTCGTTTGTTATAAAAAAATCGTAATATTTCATGAAAGCTTAAACTATAAAAATTCCGAAAATCTCAGGAAAGGTTGTACTAGTTCGCTAAAACATTAACTGTAATAGGCTCTGATGAAAGAATGTATGTAGTCTGTAGAGATGCCTCACAAACCTCGTTTTCAGTTGCGAACCGGCTAAAAATTTTAATCAGAGCCCGAACTGTGTGTGGCACTAAATATATACTAAATTTTTCTTTTGCTCTATTGCATGATGAAGACCGATGTATAATAAATTTTACTTTGAAACGAAAGCTGATAAAACTAACACAACGTGTAATAAAGAAGCCGAATGTAGAGAACTCCAGCCAAGGTTTTTATATTCTTGGTTAAAATGCTATATTTATGTATATTACCACAAATAGATTTTAAGTAACAGCGCCATCTATGTTTCTAAATTAGTCAAGTAGTCAATTGTTCATTAACTAGAAATTTTTTTAAGTTTTTTCGTTACATAGTAAAAATCTATCCTCTTTTACAGTATTAACAGACTAACTCGAATACCTAAGTTATTAATTTATGGCGTCCTTCCGTTTCAGTTAGAAGGCGACACCGTAAGGTAGAGCGGCCCTTTCTTCAAATAAATAAGTCTTATATATTTATTGGTAAATATTTTATGTTTTATTAATCCTTATAGAGTATATAATTTGACACTTTACACACTTTACATAATAGTTGAAACAAACAAAACACGATAGTGGAATGAAATCTGAAAACTTTAAACCCTTCAAATGTAAGTAGTAAGGACTACATGAATTATCTTAAAATATAAGAATAAGCAAAGGTTTAGATTATATATTAAATTAAGTCAATTAATTACCAATAATTATTATTTCATATATGAAATATACTATATTAAGAATATAGAAATTAAACAAATAAGTACCGGTGAATGGACTAATAGCGAAGAGCTTCGACCTACATCTCAAGAAGCTCTCGCTAAACAGATGGGTTAAGGGCCCGATGCAAAATGCAGTTATCCTAGAAACCGCACGCATTGTGAGAAGGTTCCTGTCTCTGCAGCCTTTACCACAGGTTGTTTGAGTCATAGGATTCCGCAGCCGGTGGTGCTCTATTTTTAATATAATATACCTATATATATGTATAAAAGAAAGTCGTGTTAGTTACACTATTTATAACTCAAGAACGGCTTTACCGATGGCTGGTATCCCTGTATTTACGAGCCAGTGACTTCTTAAACAATCTTAAATTGCGTTTGTACAATTTTTATAAGTTGAGTAATAATTGTATAATGTAAAGAAAACAAACAGAATTATTATTATTAAGAAATTAAATAAAAAACATATAATAAATTACACCATTAAAGATTAATAAAGTTTGAAGTGTACCAGTGTACGTGTACGTGTATGTGTGGGGTGTTCGAAAGGGGGTGTACAATAGTTTGCTTGTGTGTGTGTTTTTGTGTACTCATGTGTGGGTGTTTATGTGTATGTGTATTAAAGTTAAAGAATACCTTTAAAAGTAATTTATCGTCGATTTTGAAAACCAATAATTATGCAGTAATTTCCGTTCTCCTTTGCTTCATTTGTATTGGCAATTGCAAATCAATTTTACTCGTAAGTTGATCTTTTGTACATCTTTTGTATTCTTTAATAATGTTTAATATAAAATCTGAACCTGTATTAGAAATAAGACAGAGAAAAATTTCTTTCAGATACGCAGACATTTTAATGTATTAAAAATGCAGCGTTGAAATCTTTAATATGTGGATTCTTCACTCCTCAAGTATTCTTCCTAATATTTTTCTTGTTAGTTTTATTTTCTTAATCAACATAATGATTTAAAAATTCTATAACTCGTGAACTCTACATAGAACTAGATTCACAATTTTCTATAAACATCAAATCAAACACTTAGAAAAATCGCTTGAAATTGTTATATTAGCTAAATAAATTTTTGTATAATTTATAAAATGAAAATTGAATTCACTTATGCACAACATTCTACTAAAGGGACATGAACTCGACAAACTATCTTATGATAAGCAACAAAATGTTTGAGTTGCGATAAATTGTCCCCTAAAAAATGACACTGAAGCACTGATATGTTTCTTTATTTGAGTCATATTGATATTAATTTACTATATCTTTAGGTACAATTTAAGTTCATATGTTCGGAATGTTTTATTCATATATATTACATAATATATGATAATATTGTAAAATGTAGGTTGGCATTGAGATAAAGATATTATGTGAAACTGTTTTGAGGATGCTATAATGATGACAATATTTCGATTTGAAAGAGTGATTAAGAGAGAATAAGAGATTAGAGAAGAAGAGATTACAGTGAATAAGAGAGAAAGATATATATTTTAATTTTTATTTTACCAACACTCAAACAAACAATTAGAAATCAACAGAATTTCATCTAGTTGTATTTACTAAAACATTTCAAGTCTTCTGTCTCCTGTAAACTAAAACGTTCATATTATTTTTTCCTTGAATGATGTTATTCAAATTTCTTTAACTTTCTTCAGAGATCAAGAGGAAGAATTTGAAAGCTGTACATTTTACTAACGTTTTGATAACAATTAAAAATGGAGAACACAAGCGTTGAAGTCGACGCCGGGTTTGAGGACCTCGACGAATCAAATACAACAAACCAAATCAACAATGAAGTAAACCCAAACGATGCTACAGACGATAACAAAGAAGATGTACTAGAAACTTCAGCTGAACAAAATGATAACGAGATAATTACACTGGAAGATGAACTTCGAGAGATATTTTCCAGTTGTTCAGCTAATTTCAACGTAGTTCATATTAATGCACAGAGTATATCTGCACATCATCTCTCTTTGTTAGCAACATTCGTCAATCTTTATAACGTCGATGCCGTATTAGTATCGGAGACGTTCCTTAAAGACTCTATGGATTCAAATGCTGGCGATATGCCAGGATACAATCTAATTCGTAATGACAGAGCGGGCAAAGGTTATGGAGGAGTTGCAATATATTTGCGCAAAGAGTTGCACTATGAAACTGTCGAGAAATCACCAAATGGTTACACCATGTCTGCTGAATACTTATTAATTGAAGTGTGTCATGAGAAATCTAAAATACTCTTGGGTGTATTTTACAGTCCATCTTCAAAAATTGACTATTTTGGAACATTCGAAGGGTTACTCAAAGAGTATCGACATAAATATAAACATGTAGATATTCTTGGAGATTTTAATACTGATTTATTGAAAAGGAATAGACGTCTGAGGAAATTGCTCTCTATCGTTGATGGTCAGGATTTGCAACTTCTGCCTCTCGGCCCAACACATTTTGCTCCCGGATCGTCAGCGTCCATCTTGGATTTGATCATTGTCACTGACTTCGCTAATGTGGCAAAGTATGGTCAGCTGGGAAGTTATTTCTCATATCATGATATGATTTATGTCTCAAATATATTAAAGTCTTGGAGGGAAAGGATCCCAATCGAAACTGGACATAGCGGTAGTAACGAAGAACCTTTTTGGCAGAAAACCAAAGTCCGAATAGCTCTTGCAGAACAATTGAAAGCATTAAAAATCTACAAGGAGAGTGCAAGAGGTGAAAATGATTTAAAAGCTTATCAAATAGGCCGCGAGAAAATCAAACAACTTGAAAAGGAGTACAAACGTGAAAATCGTAAGAATCAAAAAGGCCAATAAGCATTTGTCTATCGTGTTTGTGATTTATTTATTGAACTGGTGCTAACTGTGGACTTTGTCAATTAAAAAAGAATTAAAAAAAAAAATAAAAAAAAAAATAGCCTAAGCCTAAAATTAAAAAAAAAGAATGGATTTACGTCAGAAGCAATACAAATGCATTATGGTCACCGTGCCATGCTAACATGAAATATTTTTCTTATGTAACATACAGACACTCCGATTTTATTAGTCAAATTTATTACACTTTACACTGAGTCCTATTTCAAATTTTGTTTATGTTTTTATTGCTTAACAACTGTCGCAAGCGATTATACATACGGAAAAAAACTTAATTGGAAGACTATGTGTTATTCCAGACTATGTTCTACATTTATGTTTTTCATATCCATGCAGTCGTTCTGGCCAGTTCTGTTCAGCCAGCAAACATCCATCGCAATTATAATATTAAGTAAGATTTTAATGTTATAATTTCTTTGTCCATGACAAACATGTTTGTTATTTGTAGTAATAAATTAAATTAAATTAATTATTAAATTATAAAAAAAATGGCAGTTAAGAAAATGTAAATATTGATAAATTATTATTTTCTGTTATACTTATTTTTAAATAAATATAAGTAAACTCTAATTATGTACATAAAAAAATAAATTCCAGCTTAATATCTTCACGCGGTTTTAAGAAAGGGTCTTGACAAGACAGACGGACGGACAACAAAGTGATCCTATAAGGGTTCCGTTTTTTTCCTATGAGGTACGGAACCCTAACAAATAAAGTGTTTAATACAACTTGAGATTATTCATGAAATTCTTTTTGTACTGACTTTAAAAAAAAAACATAAAAGAGTGTATTTAGCGAGGTTTGGTGAATTGTTTGAGACATGTCGATATGTCTCAAACATCCAGCCAGTTAAGGAACTGTTAATTTCGTATTTTAATTTTGTTGATAGAACAAAGTACAGATTTAAAATTTTAAAACTAGAAGAAAAAGCTGATTTTGATTCATGACTCCTGCGATTATTTAACTGTGATTAGTTGAATGTATTAGTTTATTTTTTAAACTTCATCATCAGCTCTCTATACGTGGGGACGTGCCCCGTAGTGGGTACTAAGGGGTTCGACGCCTACCCTAAGTAAGGGGTGACTAGGCCATAGTCAACGCTGGGCATGATGCAACCTGCACAAATTTGAGAGTCAACCAAGCCGCTATAGGCCCTTTTTTTTTGAGAGGAATGCTTTATGCATACTCCGCGCCCCGGAGGGGACGCGGTAGTTATGTGGGATTCTCCTTCATAGCGGAGGCATACCCACTAAACCTCTCTGTTCCTCCAACGCATCGGGACGGGGCCACGGGCACGCTTCCGCTCTCGTCCGCGAAGCCGCAATAGGCCTGCGTGGTTGACCTAGTCTTCCCTGACTTAGGTTAGGCTCGGAGACCCTTGTTGGGGACGTATAGTGAGCTGATGATGATGATAATCGATCATTATATGAAATATTAAATTTGAACTAATCATGTAACTGTTTAGTATTATCTAAATGTAAAGACTGTTTTGTATTTAATTAAACATTTATCTATATTCTATTTGTTTTAATGTTTTTTTCATTCATTATTTATTACTAGCTGTTGCCTGCGATACCGTTCATGCTGAATTAAAAAAAAAACTTAGTAACTTATGTGTTCTTAGCGATATACATTCAGCCGTTCTGGAGATACCTTCTAGCAAACATCCATCCATCGTCCCATCGATAGTAAGATTGTAACATATTTTAAGGTATATAATATTTACCTTAAAGTATAATTTTTTCACATTTCGAACTATACGAGCTGGTGTTGAAAAAGAAAACTTTTAGAACATTGAAATAATAGCATTTTAAATAATATAAAGAAGTTAATAAATTAATAAATTACAATTAATGGTTTTAAAATGGTTCCGCTTTGGAAAGGACAAAGCCGCGTCCACAAACAGTTATTAGCCGACTTCAAAAAGAAGAAGGTTATCAATTTGTCTGTTTGTTCTTTTTTTATTTTGACAGCTTAATAATTAATGCATTGGTGTGGTTATCATCGACCATATGTTTTAATATTACTCAGTTTATCTCAGGCTACTTTTTTTGAATATTTGCGATAAAATATACTTATAATAGTGTTATACTGTTCACAGCGTAAACATCTGTTGGTCATGTTTTTTTGAAGACGGTAAATAAGCAAGCGCTTCAACTGACTTTACCTAGATACATTTCTGGATCAAGCAAATGCGTCGTAATAATATTGCATGATATGTTTAATAGATAAAAAAGGAATATGGAGAATTATAGTTTCTATTCCCGTCCATATGCTTACCCGTTTAAATTCATTATAATTTCTAAGTAAGCAGTAGAATTTTATGTAAGATAAGATACTAATTTTAACAAAGACAGATGATAAAACTTTATTTGGAATACTGCAGTTTATTTTGACCGAAACATTAATTTATGAAGAGCGCTTAGAGAAAAAATAACTATGAAAACATAACATTTGAAAAGAATTGTTTTTTTTTTAAATGTAGAGTTGTAGGATTTTTCGAAATGATCTTCAATTTAAAAGTTCACAATAGTCGATAAATTAATTTAACGAATGACGATCTATATAATTATATACTAGTTTTAGACATTAGTAATTAGAATTCTGTGGCGCGAATGGCGGGCTTTCGTTACCAAGTGTCAGATTGATTAGTGAGGGGACATAAACGTCGACATTTTAGTAAGGCTAGTGTTGCTCCGGTACACCAGCACAATATCGGGATTCCTTCCTAACAATAGTGACATAAATATATGTCTGTATCATTTAATTAAATTACAAATTGTAATACTATATGTACGGTGTGAAATTTCATATATAAAGTATAAAACGATTTAATCAAAATGTGCATAAATATTCTATAAACGTTCCTTTCAACTCTACCAGTTAAGGTCAGCGCACGAATCACTCAATGAGTCAGCCTAACATATTGGTTGTGTTCAGTCGGCGCGCAGACGTGTACACATACCTAGTAACAATATAACTGTATACAAACAAAATATATCGATTACAAGATATAATATTTCTTATCTTTTATAAGTGATTATTATCTGTGCAACTTTAATTAGCGGGAAAGAGTCGACTGCGTACATACGTACAATCGCACAAAAAGTTTGTAAGCGGGAGACATTAGTGGGAAAACCCAAGTGAAAAAACAAGTGCTCCAATAAACTTTTGAAGGTAATATTGGAATAATCATTCTAAATATATTATATTATTAAATGAACACAAAAAATATTATCTCGCTATATTTGCTGAAGCTTTATACTAAAGTGTTTTAGGTTAGGTTCGTATTCTATTAATTCAAACGTCGATATTAAAATAATTAAACAGGATAAATGTTATTAAGTGTTTTTTGTATAAAATCGCTTTGAAATATATATGTAAATGTAATTTATAAAATTATGAAATAAAAATAGACGCTCCTGTTATAAAATATCGGCAAAACTTTAGTCTCGTTGATAAACAATATCACAATAATTAAACTTTACTTATATTATAAATGCGAATGTTTAGATGTATGTTTGAAGGTGTCTCCAGAACGGTTGAACGTATCTTTTAAATTTGGCATAGATGTAGAGTATAGCTTGCAAGAACACATAGGCTACTATTTTGTTTTATTCTACGTGGACGGAGTCGCGGGCGGTAGCTAGTATGTTATATATGTTACTTATTTAACTTAATTATTTATATAGAAGTTATGTTCTTAGGTCGTTCATCTTTTTTCATTTAACTATAAATAATGCTACATACATAGCTGACAAACTCTACTATGAAAAACATGATGCAATAATAAAATTTAAACTATGTTAATGTGGACTTCATGTATATAGTTTTATTAAATACATATAGTGTGTCTCTGTTTTGTCAAAGAGAATGTAAGAGATGACAATACTTATTACAAGTCCTTCTATAATGGAGCTCTAGATACACTAGATGGTTACAAGATATTTAGAATAATCTTATCCAAGCTTGAAGTAATGCCAACATTAAAAATCAATTACAAATCCCTTTTCTTTTTTAACATTCCCTAACCTTAATAGTATCGTAAATATTTTTTTTATTGCATTAGGTACTGAACACACATTCCTATACCCTTATAAACCACTTTGAGTTATTTTAACGTTATTTATTTTTGTTTTACAGTTGAAAGAACGACAGTTAACAAGATTGTCTTCAATCAAATCAGACAAGAATACAAATAGAAACATCAATCAAAAATGGAAAACCCCAAAAGAGCCGACCCTGACATAAAGGACAAACAGCCTAGTGGATCAAATGTTTTAGCTGATCAAAATAATAACGAGATAATTACTTTCCAACATGAGCTAAGAGATATATTTTCGAATTACTCTAAGAATTTCAATGTTGTTCATATTAATGCTCAGAGTATACCTAAACATTATCTCTCTTTCTTAGCAACATTCGTAAATCTTCATAATGTCGATGCTGTTTTGGTATCAGAGACATTCCTAAAACAGTCAATGAATTCAAAGGCGGGCGATATACCAGGTTATAACCTGATCCGTAATGACAGAGTGGGCAAAGGTTGTGGAGGAGTCGCAATTTATTTACGCAAAGAACTCAAGTATAAACATGTGGCCAAATCTTTGAGTTATTACACAAGTTCCGCTGAATATATATTCATTGAAGTCTACCATAATAAAACTAAAATACTTTTGGGTGTGTTCTATAGTCCGAATTCCACTATTAATTATTTTTCAACTTTAGAAGATTTATTCAAAAAGTATCGTTCTGACTATAAATATGTGAATATCCTTGGGGATTTTAATACTGATATATTGAAAGCGAACAGACGTGTAGATAGATTGTTTTCGATTATTAAAAACCACAGTTTATATCTGCCGCCCCTGGGGCCGACTCATTTTTCTCCCGGTACAAAAGCCTCTGCTTTAGATCTGATAATTGTCTCGGAGAAAGACATTGTCGCAAAGCACGGTCAACTAGGGAGTGGTTTCTCATATCATGACATGATCTATGTATCAAATAAAATAAAGCCTTGGCGAAGAAGACCGAAACTGAATGAAGAACCTATTTGGCAAAAAGTTGACGCTGAAGCAGCTCTTTCAGAACAAAGGAGAGCATTAAGTATCTACAAGCAGAGTGAACGTGTTGATGATGATTTAATGAAGTATAGGAACGGCCGAAAAAGTATTGAAAAACTTGAGAAAGAATTTCAACGTGAAAAGAGCAAAATCCAAAAATCACCAAAGAAATAATTTTAAACATCTTGTAACTTTTTAATATTTTATATCATTTTTTATTGTCTTCGAATATTTTATTTTTTATAATGTTTTTAGAAATTTTACACTTTTTTTTTTATTTAATTCCGAAGTAAAATATGTACTTTTTTACATTTATACTTTTTATACGTATAAAACTATTTATATAATTTTTATTGTCAAATTATATTTTTTATTTCAAAACTATAAAGTTTCAAAACTGAATACATTTATATTCAACAAAATGATTTTAATAATATAATGCTGTTATTATTCGTAAATTATTTACAATTTATTTAAGTAATGGAATACTTGTAAAGTACTTTGTATATTTTATATCTAGAATTGTTATTTAAATTGTTTTCGAGCAATAAAATTAGTATAATAAACGATCAATTAGTAAAATATATATAAAAATATAGCATAAATTGTAAATACTTTAACATTATTTGAGTTAAACCAAAGTTTTTTCGAATAGTTAATTTCTCAATTATTTTTCCGCCTGAATATAAGTTTGTAAATGTTAACTTAAATGAAGTTATAAAAAAATGTTATAACTTTGAATTCATGAACTAATTTTAATACGTAACGTACGTATAAATATTATGTAGTATTTAGATTCTTTTATATTAAAATTAAATGAAAGCAAAGTCCTTTAAGAAATAAGAGCAATGTCCAAAGAATAGATAAATTACGAATTCAGTTCAAAAACATTATTTATTTTATTAAATAGTTATTCTATATTTTATGAGTACTACCTGTTATTCAGTTTAAAGTTTTTTTTTGTTAATGCGGGGTATGCGTTTATGCACTTCGCCGTCCGTGCTGCGGGCAGCTGGGACGGTTTCGTGTGGGACTCGCGGCCTGGAAACAAGACCGGACTACCCACTAAACCCCGCGGTGTTCACCTACGCCCAACCGGACCGTGGCATTTACGTTAGATTCAGTTTAAAGTAGTATAAGTAAGCATTATGTTAAAATATAATAACTTAAGTTAAAGTTTTTTAGATTGTAAAAAGCGGATTTTAGTAAAATATATTTCACGATTCTTAAATTTTTAATATTTATATTACTCAAGTATAGATGTCATAAGATTATTTTACATACTATATAATGATATTATATTGAATTAGTTCTTATTTTTTTGCCATACTAGTAGTTAATTTTTTTATTATTTATCTATTGATTAAATCTGCAAATTATTAATATTATATGAATTTTAGTAACTGTATTAAAAAATACGACTCATAAAATGTTAATAAATTAGTTTGTTTATAATTTATAAAGACATTTTATAATTGATATTAATTTATTTTAGTCTCAATTCCATGTTTTTTTCTTACTTATTAATAATACTTATCAAATGTAATTTGAATATTATTTTATTTATATCATAGATTTGAGACTATGTGTAATTATAGAAATAAGGATGTATAATAAAAATAAAAATAAAATTTGTATAACAAAATTCTAAAATGTGATATTTTTAACGATTTTTTTTTGTCAAAATCAAAGACTGTTTTGAAATTATTAAAATTTTATATATAAAACTATTCGTATTTGTTATTCAATCCTTCTGCTTGTTGTGAATTGCAATTTTTATGTATTACTCTCGGAACCAATGGTTGTTAAGTACAAAAAGAAACCATAACCGTGTACGCTACGGCGTAGCATTTAAGCCTGTGTAGCACCTGTGTGCTACAACTATTAAATAAGAATTATAAGGTGAGATTTACTTCTGAGGTCATTGTATAAATTTATCTGTGAATGTTAAGTTAATTATGAATGAAAATGTTTGTCTGTCGTTGTGTTTGTCTTAGTTTATTGCGGCGTCAATCAAGAGCGTTGGACCTACAAGATAATTAAACATTTTTGAACCTCATAGCAGTGGAACTGCACTTGTTAACATGTGGTCTCTATTTTCTCAAAGGACATGAAAGGGATAACATGATATATTAATATAAGTGCATTAGTTCTACGGCAAAAGATTTAATTTATATTGTTTTAATTCAATCAAATTAGAATATTCTTAAGTAATTAAAACACACAATGCTTTAAGGAACTATTAACAGTCCCCCGCTTTAACATCTTCGCACAAATTGGCCCGGCTCGCCCGGTGAAATACCACGACCACACAGAAGACAGGCGTCAAGTGGAAGCAATTCCGCGTTTCGTCTTATGAGTTTGCGTCCCGGAGGACTAATTTTAGTTCCCTTATCTGGTGAGGGCATGCATGGAAAGGGAAAAAATCTTTCTATGCAACCCCTTCTCCATCGATTTAAGGTAGGTAACTCATCTGCAATTTCGAATGTCTATGGGCAACGGTGGCTACTTCAGCGATTTTAGGTTCGCTCGTCTGGTACCTTATGATGAAAATCTTTTTTTTTTAAACAATAAAATCGATTATTTTAGAATATACTTTATCGAAGGATTCGATTGAATATCGATATGTTATTTGATATCTCTTTGTTACTATTGATAATGATAAGGTAATTCAACTTGAAAAGAAAATTGACAGACTCGTTCTAAGCGTTTAAGCTGATACAAGTCATTAAAATAAGTTGAAGAAATTAAAAATAAATTAATGTTATATGTGAAATGATTAACTAACAAACACTTGTTTAATAGTGTTGCATATAAATCAAGGATTTTATAATTTATAAAGTGATATTCTATGTGGAGAAAGTTGAAGTGATTTTTTTACAAACGCTGTTGTCATCTAAAATGGCGAAACCAGGCTGACATTTTGTTACAAATACATAAAGCGTCTTTAAAGGTAATTAACTAATGATTTGTATAATATATATTTTCATTTTTAATATATTTCATTCAAGAAAAATTATTTTAAATATTAATATGTATAGATAGTAGATATATTCTTGCATCTCTATTACGTTGCATTTCCGTCACATTTTACGTCACTGAGAATAAAAATATATAATAAATTTCTAATTTATATGTAATTATTTTATTCTATAAAATTAAAAATCATCGAAATAAAAAAATAAAAACTTTTTCATTCATAAACAAAGTTGCAAATTTATTTCGTAACATATATAATGGTAGAGATATTGATAACTAAACAATTGAACGTTCACGCTCTTTTCTGACTTGTAGATAGGTAGAGACGGTTAGAAAACTGTGCAGGAGAATTCAGGCTTTGCCTGGATACATACATCTACTCTCAATACATTCACATGTAGTTTTTATTTATCATATTCATGGGTAATTTTCCTTTGAGTCACCAGTCCGCGGTTGCTACTTTTATATCGTTACTTAATAACTCTTTAATATAATAAATGTGCGGATCTTGTTCTTTATCATGTGAAACACTAAGACTACACTTAGTCTACGATGCCATTAAAATGTCATCGTTATATTTTTAACAGTTTTTTTTATATCATTCTTATCCTAGATATTAATTCTTTAGCGCGAACATTCGCATTGGTAGAGTTATACTAAACTTTTAAAGTTAGTTTTCGGTTATGTAAAGGAAAATTAAGTTTATGTTATTAATTACTTTAAGATTCACTTAAGACTGCGCCTTTGTACAAAGCATTTGGATTAAGCATACGTAATAGATAATTCTTGTTAATTTTAAATAATCTATTCATGGAGGTATTAATATAACTAGTAGTGGACGGCTAAATACATATATCGTTATGAATACATGTAACAAATTACACCTCACAACCCTAAATAAAGTAAAAAATGGTCTACAATTTTGTGGCGCATCACAACATCGTCATTGGACTATTATTATACTTTTTTTGAACAGAATTTATATCTTATACGTTTCTTTCAGTAATCAAGACTTCCTTAATAACGATTAACGTGCGAGGAACATCGCAAAACGGAGACGAAGACAACAGACTGTGCATAGTATAAGTCATATTTAAGATATATTTTCAAGACAACATAACATTATTATATACTCCTCTTGTATATATATAATTGTATGTATATCGTTTTAATTATTATATGTTATAATATTAACGCCAAAGATTCATCCATCATTCGCTAAGTAGTAAATAATTAATAAGATAGTATTATTAATTAATTTATTTCTTGAAGAAACGTGTCAAAAAAAATAAACAAAATGGAGACAAGATCCATGGCTAGAAGGAGGAACGAAGAAAGTCAAAATAGAGATACATCTGACGCCAGTTCCAGTAGTGATGATTCCGTGACTTTAGATTATAAACTTCATCAGATTTTCCTTAAATACTCTTCCAACCTTAACGTTATACATCTCAATGCACAGAGCATTCCCGGACATTACCTCGACTTCCTACGAACATTCACAAGTGCACATAGCATTGATGCTATATTAGTTTCCGAAACCTTTTTAAAACCTGACATGGCGTCAATTCATTACGGCCTGCCAGGTTTTAAACTTATACGTAATGACAGAGAAGGTAAGCCTAGTGGAGGAGTAGCTATTTATCTCCGTCAAGGCATACCTTTTAATTACGTCACTCGTTCACCCGCGACATATTCTAAATCCGCGGAACATCTCTTCATTGAGATCTTTCCAGGCGGCACCAAAGTCTTACTCGGCGTCTATTATTCGCCATCACTGACCATCAAATATTTTCCATCGTTCGAAGGATTATTAAACCGATTACGTTCCGAGTATGAACACGTCATGATAATGGGCGACTTCAATACTTGCTTGTTAAAAAATAATAAGAGAGCACAAGAATTACTCCGAATATTAGATTCAAATAGACTGGATATTCCTCTATTGGATCCGACTCATTTTGCACCCAATACTAAACCTTCTTTACTTGATTTGATGATCGTTTCTAATTTAGATAACGTCGCAAAACATGGCCAGCTGACTGGGTGTTTTTCATACCATGATATACTATATATGTCTTACAAAGTTGCTTCGCCAAAACAGAATCTATGTAGTAACTTTGTAATGGAGATTATACCGACCAATGGGGTAACGCCTACGTCACCTCCAACACCTGTATTAGAGCCCATGTGGCGAACAAGAGATGTTCGAGAAGCTTTAGCAAGACAATTAAAAGCTAAAA